GACAGCGCAAAAGCGAACGAACCCCGGTGGCACCGCGCCGAGACACCTGCAGAGCGTCATGAAAGGAAGCAAAGGGAGGCTTTGAATAGATCGTCTAAGCAAGACAACGGAAAGTCGGCAATCGAAAGGGACCCTGCTCGACGTCGCACAGAGACTCCGGAGCAACGCAAAGAAAGAAAGTTGAAGGAAGCACTGTCTAAGGCCACCGCCACCAAGGTGTCTTCAGGAGGAAGTAAGCAATTTGTTGGTGAGAACTTGAAGGCTCATCGCGGAGAACGCTCTCGCGATGTGCTCACTAGGGAAACGGTCGGCGGTCCACCTGGAGTCGATGAAATCACGAAGGGTGCATCGCTCCAGGAACCAGTTCGTAAAGATGGAGCCAGGTCACGTTCCCGAAAAAGTGGCTACATTCCTGTGTCGGAGTCACATGACAGCCCCACCACATCAAATAAAGACCCTGATGATTGGTATGTCAGCGAGCCACGAAAAAAAACCAACCAGACCACTGCTTTGGACAGAGATACAGATCCGGCAGTTCATACAGTATACTACCCTGCGCACCCCCCGCAGCAGTTGCCCCAGATGCATCCTCTGTATCCGCCATATATGTATCGGGCGTATCCCCCACCTCAGATGTACCCGCCACCTCAGATGTACCCGCCACCTCAGATGTACCCGCCACCTCAGATGTACCCGCCACCTCAGATGTATCCCCCTCAGATGTATCCCCCGCCTCAAATGTATCCTCCGTCTCACCTAGGACCGGCTGTGCCCGTCCCTTATCCTGCTCCCTATCCGGGGCAGCTCTATCCTCCATATTATGGTCATGACGATCCCTGGGAGTCTGACGAAGCTCCTACTTCCGGCGATAACTTGTATTACACATCTGATTGAACTTTCTGGAACGCGTCGGAGGGAATTTCGGAAGGGGGGACCAAACGGAGCGACGGTATGCAATAACAATTCCACCTATAGCTATGAACTGCCTTTCTCCTCCCCCTCTGTGTCATGCCTGTTCATCACTATGCCACTCGCGACGACAAGTAGGACGACACTTTATGCAAAAGTATATTCACATTCACGAAGCGCCTTCATTTGTAACTACATGCTTATCCTTTACGCTATAGTTTTGAATACTTTCCCTTATTGTTGTAAATATCAGTGATTGAGTATTACATTTTATGTATAATTTCGATTGTACCCTCAACCAGAACGGAAGATCACTCCAAGAATGTGCCTCAAAGTAGTTTCCCTTTCAACTTGAAACATATTTTAATGGCATAAAGATTGTATTCCATTTTTTCGGCCTAAGAACGTACGGATAGGTACATTTACAGGACACGCTGGCTCACTTTGACCTCCCGTAACTTGTGACCGTCTATCGGGATCACTAGTCAGGTCCCTTAAATTGCGTGAGAATATTAGGCCTAGCGTTCGATCCTCCTCATGTTTCCAGCCCACGAGTCATGCCCCCAGTAGTCGTTGTAGCGTTGTACCCTTCAGCTTTCCACGACTTATAGAGCATATTGAGTTGTAGATGGTACGAGCAAGTTACTCCCGCTTTCTTTGATTTTGTCAAGTTAACCTGACTTCCATCCTATTTTTTTTTTCTGATGTTTTTCAACTATCCGCAGTGGTTAGGTGGTGTATCTGATCCCTCTATGACTATGCATCCTCCACGTGCATTCAATAACCATGCCCAGCAAAGGCCCAACCCGACGAGAGTCAGTTCGCCTGATAATGGTTTCCGATCAGGCAACGATACGTCTGACGGTGATCATAGTATCAGTGAGGATGGGCTTTCGCAACGGGAGACGGATGGTGTCAAATCTCATGTTGAAGAAAATAACCCGAATGTTTCAGTCATGGAGGATAATTCTGAATATGTATTTCCAACGACTAACCCTCCCCCACCATACAACCACCACCATATTCCCCGTGAAGATCCCAAAAACGACAGCCATCAGCCCTTCAGAGATACCCAACAGAATCCACAAGCTCCACGTCGGTCCAAAAGTACTCCCCCGTCTTCATCACATACCCATCGTAATTCCCATACCCAACCCCCCCCTCGCCCACCTACCCCTCACGAATATCATCAAGGACAGGCCGGAAAACATAATCAGCGCTCATTCAAACCAGAATGCTACGAATACATCCCAATTTATCATCCCACTCACTGCCCCGGACATACCTTCGTATACCCTAAGTCGTGGCCTTCCGAAGCTGCTTTCGACGCATGGCATGCGAAGCAAAAATTAGTTTATGATTTGTGGAATAAAGGCGCACATCAGACATATAGTGCACAAGAGAAGCACTATACTGCAGGCGGATGGACCTACTCACAACAGCACAACGCCTACAGTTGGCAAGCGCCTCAGGCGGCCCCTCAACCCCCTCACAATCCTCACCGACAATTCCATCAGCCTAATCCCCACAACCCGTGGCGCCAGCAGACATACCCAGGTTCTCGATTCCAAACTAATTTCGCCCCCGACTATACCCATGAGCATGGCGGTCAAGGAGCACCCCCTCGTTACCCATCTCCTCCAAAACCAACACCCATGCCCCCTCCCCCTCCCAAAAAGAGAACGCACCATCGTTCTTATGTTCCACCCGTATCTTATCCGTCCACAACGAGGTGCAAACCCACTCAGACAATCCGAGACGCATTTTTATCTTACGATGAACAGTGGGATATTCTGATCGCGCCCAACGACGGCAACAAGTTGACCTTTTTTTCTGTCCCGTGGCCGCAATTTCCTCGACCTTCTTCGGTGGAAGAAATAAACGCCCAGATGATACGAAAATTCTTGGCGTGCAGTGGCATTTCGATGAAAGTACGTGTTGACACCAATTATCCACTCCGTGATTCTGACTGATCTCGGTCTAGCTCATTGTGCGAAAGGCTTTACTTCGATTTCATCCTGACAAAATCGCGAATCTCATCGCTAATGTGGAGGACGAATATAAGGAAGATGTTTCAGGTGGATGTGTTGCTGTTGCAAGGTGTTTGAACGAGATCAAGTCCTCTCTCTGATCACTCACAGTCTCGCCCTTGAGCTTGCGTTTTGATGCGCCATCCGATATGCAGTACTTCGCATTCTTAGCTTCTTTGTTTTCCTACCTTCGAGTCACAACGCAGACCAAAATTACGACTAACGACTAGGTTTTTCGTACTAGCCATGTACAATAACTTCTTTACGACAATATGAATGTCATGACAGGACCGCATATTTCTCCCCCTATTTCCACGGATACATCTACACTTATATGTGAAACATAAAGAAAAGTTTCAGACTGTAGACTCGTCCAAAAAGCCATTAGAACGGTGTCGGCCTGACTTATCGTAAGGGGCGAAACGTCTTTGCTTTCGAGCCTCTTTCCTAGAATTAAAATCCTGCAGCTTATTGGAACCAAGTTGATGGTATGTGGCATTGTGTATTTCCCGCTCATCGTAACGCACGCAGCGACTATAGATTGCGCAGGTTCCAAAACTGCAAATATACATCAGCCCGTTTGTTCCCTGTGGTGTGGCTACGGCCTCATTGAAATGTCCCCCAGTAGACCCGGATATGTTGGTTCCTGTCATTTCATGCTGATGAGTATGTCTGGATTGAAACTCGACAGGCATATCATTCTCTGGAAAGGCTGTAGCATTTTCGTGGTCCAGAGCTCCAGTGTTTTGAACCCCGTTGAACTCTTCGCTCCCAACATAGCTCCCACCGTTGAAAATCAGAGCCAAGGCATTGTCCTCCCAACTTGCAAACAACGGTGTACTCTCTTGAGATTTATGAGAGGTCGTAACCCGTGGCAGACTATCTGTAACGTCGTGAATCTCCGAGTCTCCTTCCAAGCTGGCGACTCCATGGGGGGCAACAGTAAACCCACCTTCGAATTGTTCAGGGAACGACTCAGGATTCGAGGGCTGGTGTTGGGGACTATAAAAGGTATAGCTTCCTTCTGAAGATACTTGCTGTTGTATCGAGGGTGATTGGTTGTTGGCATGTGGCACCCAGCCGTGCACCCCGGGCTGATCCCATTGGGTTGTAGAGACAGCCTGAGCCTGACTATCATCTCCTCTGGTATTATAATAGAAGTCATAATTATCGATAGCCTCACTGTCGTTCATGGCGAGAGTGACGATCTCTAATCCATGCAATACAAACTTGACTGGTGCAAAACGAACCAAAGGGGGACAATAAATTTGTCTTATATATATATAAGTCGTTGTTCCAGCACAAACTTTGCTTATAAGGCGTCACAGGATCACAGCCGGAGCTGAATACCCGACATATAATTGAGAACCCCATGCCCGAACCATGAGGACCCGCAAGGTAGAGTAGACTGCCCGAACCATGAGGACCCGCAAGGTAGAGTAGACTGCCCGAACCATGAGGACCCGCAAGGTAGAGTAAACTGCCGAGGGCTGAAGGTGGTACTCGACTCCGACTCGCAGGAAGGGGACTTTCAAGACTCGCAGGAATGTCAAGCGATGAACCATAAAGAGACCTCACATATATTTATGGAAAGCAGGCATGTGTATTTTTCACTGATTGCAAGTTAGTTACAGTCGCCAGTGGGGAGAAAGTATAAAGGGATTGCATCAGGGCACACGTCAGCTTATTCGAAAATCAAGAGAAAGTCAGAATGACCGTAAGCATCAGTGATTTTTGGGGTCCCCTCGAAAAATAAACGGAATCCTTAATCAACTTGAATTCTGTTCTATGAAGAGAAACGACAATGTCTCCTCGAGAACCGTAGTTCGAGCCGCTCAATTACATAAGGAACAGTACAATGTTCAGGAAAGCCCTTTGAATCACTTTTTAACAAAACAAATTTAAAGGAGGGATAAGAGTTAGACTATCATCCCAAAGGACATGTTCGGAAGCTCCCTGGTACTGTCTCTTACTGATATTATATTCTTCAAGTTTCTGAAATCAATATTCTGAACAATCATTCAATATTGCCTCTCGCCAAAATTAAGTCGAGAAACAAAAGGGCTTGGCCGGGAGTTGAACCCGGGACCCCCCGCAATGTCTATCTCGTAAGCCGAGACAAGCCCAAAGCGGGAATCATAAACCACTAGACTACCAAGCCGATGGAAGCATGGAATACCCTTAACTATATGATGACCAATGTCTTCTGTTGGTAATCCTCCTAATACAAACTTTGACTACAACAATTCTCGGTTATTAGAATGTATGTAAATAATATCCTAACTGCAACGATATATAGTAAGTGTGTTTGTCTTGTAGATAGGGACTGTTCAATCGCATGCTTTATTGTGCACATGAAGACCACTGTTTTAATCGAGCTCTTAATTAGTTGTCTGGATCCATTCAGTGATATTTGCCAGTAACAATATGTTTAATAGGTAAATGTAACGCGTGTTAAGTGCAAAAAAAGGAATAATGCAATTGTGATAATTTGTGATCCATAAAAGTGGTATACTCATTGATTCTCAGTCCTTGTCATCAGCCCCGTCGGGTACTTCGGGGCCTCCTCCCGCCCCGCCTTGCTCTCGTAATTCGTTAGTCTTTTCCTTGACGACTTTTTCTGCATCATCTTCCATTTCTTCAGGTGATTTATCGGACTCGGAGATTGATTCGGTGCATACTAATCGTTGTTTTTTGTTGGATAGGCGGGTGGTTTCCTTTATTACTAGTCTGTTGGGAAATGAACAGCAAAGAGAACTTACGTTCTTTGACAATCTTGACAGGTTCTTCGCCCACGTTGCCTTTGAGATTTTCAGCATTCTTGTCGAGGAGATTCTTTAAATAGGGCAGATGAGCCAGGATGGGCTGTGCGCTAGTAGTCCGGATTTCAAAGAAAGATTAGAGAGCGTTTTGCCAGAAAAAAAAGAAAAATTTCATCGACGTACCTATTTATAGTAGCCTCCCATGCAGTAGAACTACTCCTATTCGCAAGGTCTTGGATTTCTTTTGACTTCGTCTCTAAAAGTACGGTGACTTCTGTGATTGAAGTTGCGTTCACGGCGTTGTTGAGGATTGAGGCAGCTTGATTAGCGGTGTTTGTGGCAATACGTTTTGCTTCTAGACCGCTAACAGTGACTTGGTTAATCTTGACGATCGTAAATGGAGGAAAGAAGGGACTCACGACTTATCCGCTGTTGATGCCAATTGACCGTATAACCTTCCCAGGAGAAGCTGAAGATACAGAATTAAGATCCGGAGAAAATAAACATATCGGCATACATTTTTTATCGAGAATCGCCTCAAATATATCAGTCCCTACCTGGGCTGTGTCTATTACAGTCTTCACCGTCTGTACCACCGTCCTTGCCCCTGAGAGGTGATACTACGTGTATGCCCCTACCTCCACTCCCTGCTAGTGCCCCATAAAAAGCGTCATAATTTGGCTTTGGGGATTTAGATACGCTGGCTGTGCCTCCTGTGGTGGACTGATACCGAGTACGGATCTGCCCAAGCTTAACGCCTCGGATGGCGTTGCGGGATGCTCTGGAAAACATATGGCACTTAGAGAGAAAAAAGCATATAATGTTACAATTATTCGACTGGTGTTTTTCAACGGAATTATTCCTTTGGTATCTGTGGTGCTATGGTGCGCGTCACAACTTCTCTTCGACATCGTGACGCTTCCTATAGCTTGAGTTTGCCTCCACAATTTCCATTTCTGAATTCCGGAATAGTTGCCAGATGATTTTGCAAAATGTGTAATTATGTAAATGTACAGAAACCAAAAGTGTGAAAAAATATCCTCAGTTACTTCAGGATTTTCTGGTTTCTCCAAGTTCTCCGGTAAAAGGAAGAATGCCATGTGGATAAATTGATAACGCATAAAGCGGTATACTCATCGAGTCTCAGTTTTTGTTTTATTTTCACCATCTTATCCTCCTTCTTTCAGTTGCCTTCTTCTCGCCCTTCTGTGTTTATGAATCTCCTTTTTGCTTGTCATTGGCTCTGTCCGACTTCTGCTTCTCCACATCTTCCTTCGCCCCCTGCCCTATCTTTCTGGCTTCCTCTATCTTCGATTCCAAGACAATCTTTATATCCTTAGACGTCTCGTCTAATACTATACACCAGAAACAAGTTAATTAACAATCCTATTTTCATCGTATATGGTGAACAACTTACACTTCTTCGCCTCTGGCCCTCGTTTTTCCGCAGTACTTTGCAGCTCTTGAAGCTTAGCTATCTCCTCCGCAATCTATAAAGCATGCCTTAGTAACAATACAACGAACATAGTAAAAACGCTACTCACGCCACCAAACCCAAGTACCGCCTTTAACTTGTCGATTCCTCCATTCTTGCTTAATAGCCCAGCAAGATCCAGCTGCCCAAGATCAGAATCACTGATTCCAGGAACTCTCACCCCATTTTGCCCTCGTAACTCGTTCATCTTCTCCTTAACAATTTTTTCTGCCTCGTCTTGCTTTTCTTCAGGTGATCTACTGGATTTTGAGATTGTTTCTAGACCGGTGTATACTGATCGTTGTTTTTGTTGGGAGGGGTGGGTAGTTTTATTTATCAGTGGTCTGTTGAGAAATGAACTGCAGAAAGGACGTACGTTCTTTGACGATCTTGACACGTTCCTCTACATAATCTTTAAGACTTTCGACGTTCTCGTCAAGGAAATTCTTTAGATGCGGTAGATTATCAAGAATGGGCTGTGCGCTATTGGCCCGATTGTAAAAAACATTAGTGAGCCTTTTGGTTTTAGCCAAAAAAACGAAAACTTTCATCGACGTACTTATTTCTAGCAGCCTTCCACGCATCAGAACTACTCCTACTCGCAAGGCCTTCGAATTCTTTCGACTTTTGTTGTAAAAGAGCGGCGGCATCTGCGACTGAAGTTGCGTTGATGCCGCCGTTGAGGATCGAAGCAGCTTGATTGGCAGTGTCTGTGACGATACGCTTTGCTTCTGGGCCACTGGTGATAACCCTGTTAATATCGATAATCGTAGAGGAAGAGGAAGGAAAGGACTCACTACTTGTCCGCTGTTGATTTCAATCGATCATATGAACCCCCCAGGACACGTCTTAACTCGGCTGAAGAAATGAAGTTAAAACCCAGAAAAATAGTAATTAATTAACATACGTGATTTATCGAGCAAAGAACCTAACACATCAGTTCCTATGTCAGTTCCAAGTTTCCTTATTTCGTCTCCGCGTTTCGTGATGATATTGATCATGCTATAGAATGACAACAAATATAAGATATAAGAACAAAGACGCAAATGAAACCGATAAAGCGTACATTTTCCCTGCATCCTTCGGATCTCCCTTCTCCAATGCCTCCCTCATCTCACCGTACATATTCACTACAATATCTCCCATCCTGTCACCATGCTTCTCTAGCATCCTCTCAAACTGATCAAAAACATAGTCTATACCGGGAGATGGCGCAACCATTTTCATCGCTGACTTTAATAGCATTAACGCTTCCCTCGGTGCCGGTGCCACCTGCTGGAATTTGTCTTTGGCTTCCTGGGCTGTATCTATGGTGGCCTTTTCCGTCTGAATCACCTTCTTTGTCCCTGAGAGGTGGTACCACGCATATGTCCCTACCAGGACAAGTCCACCGCCTGCTAGCCCCCCATAAATAGCATCATAATTTGGCTTTGGGGGTTGAGGCATGCTGGCTGTGCCTGCTGCCATGGTGGACTGAGACCGAAACCGGATCTGCCGAGGTTTAATCCCTCGGACAGAGTTGCGGGATGCTCTGAAAAACATATAGTGTGTTGTGAAGTGAGGGCTCACGCATGCTCTAAGACGTAATACAATTGGGAGTCAGCGAGAAGCACGTGATTTACGGGTATCTCCGTCCCTTTTGTTCCAAAGTTCCTTTTTGTTCTGGAGACGTATATATACACTCAAACTACCAAGAGCTACCTCAGTCGATTCCTATCTACCCGTCGACTGAGATATAATACATATTGTAATAGGGTCTTGATTAATAACATAGTGCTTAGAAAAGAATACAATGTTGGGGATTGCGAACAATGTCGCACGTGATGGACAGGTAACCGAGTCTCAGGCGTCATGACGGTTTTCATCATTTATCCAACACATGACCTATGACGGCGTCTCTTGGCCACAGAAATAGAGACACCAGGGACTTGGCGTGATATAGAAGTCATGGAAGTCCTCATAGCGGCCATATCAGTAACACAGAAAGCCTTCAATTTGTGTAGGGATATGAGCGGGGCTAACATGAGAACATTAAATCCGCAAATATTACTATGCATTCCGCAATTCTCCTAACGAGGCTGCACATGTCAAGATTTGCCGGCGCAGGGCCAGGTACACACCCAACAGCGCGCGGATCACCTGTGCATATACGCGAATCCAGAAAAATCAAAGGAATTCTTCTAAAAAAGGTCGCAAAGGACTCCATGAAGCGCAAGGGAGTATCTTGAGGTCATCCAGACGAGATAGGGCCAATTTCCTACACTCTCATCTGACACTTTTCACTCTACTTGTGTCTTTTAGGAATACATTCAAAAATGATATATAAAAGCATAGAATAATTAATAATTAATAAAATTCAAGTAAGTTTCTCAGTTAAATCACATGCCCTGATAAATACTTAGAACTGTCGACACAGGGGAAAGTTGTGGGGCTGGCCCCCAGGGTTCACCCCTTGTCTGCCCACGAATTCACCCCTTGTCTGCACGAATTCACCCCTTGTCTGCACGAATTCATCCCTTTTCTGACAAATTCACCCCTTTTCTGGCTACAAATTCAACCCTTTTCTGGCTACAAATTCACTCCCTTTCTGGCTACAAATTCAACCCTTTTCTGGCTACAAATTCACTCCTTGTCTGCCCACGAATTCGCCCCTTGTCTGCCTACTAATATTCTTGCGGCAAAAGACTGCAATGGTCGTTATCAACTTTCTCGTAGTCGGCGGCGACAAGCCATTCGACCACATTTTTCCAGTGCAAACTTCACCAGACGAGACCATCAGAGAGCTACGAAAGTCCATCTGGGAAGAAAGGGCCCGGTGGGGAGACAGCATCGGCGCTGACACACTGACCTCATCAAGACCGAAACTGACGCTATACAGACCGAAGCAGACGATATCGACTGATTCAGAAGACATTTTCAATGGTA